TTCAGATTCTTCTTGGAATGAAGGCCCAAGACCCAGGGGAAGCTGTCTATTCTATGCTTAGGTTCATTGAAGAATAGATAGTTGTGTAGAAATGTGACTGGACAAAAGGGTATGATCTAATGGTGATAGACTGAGGGGGGAATCGCAGCAAGGTCCGCCTGTTCAGATTCTTCTTGAATAGACTGAGGGGGGAATCGCAGCAAGTTCCGCCTGTTCAGATTCTTCTTGGCCTCTCTGCGTAGCATTCCTTTCCCTTGGTTATGGGACAGGCCCCCTCTGGAATGAGAGTCTTCAAGAGAGAAGGGAGAAGAAAATGACTTTTTAAGTTTTATGGCTTTCTTTGGGGAAGAGGTATTCTGGTTTCTGTGACTCACTTGGGGACAGAGGAGGAAAGGGGTGAAGAGAGCAAGAGGGGTGAGAAACAAAAGAGTAGAAGGTCAGAGACACCTTACATCTGAGGCCTTTCCAAACTCCGTCAGTTCAAAGAACTCAGAGTGCCAAGGTGCCAGACTTCAGGGTATTATCATGTTCTGAGCCCCAGCAGTTGCAAGTTAGAATATCTCCAAAAATGATGAGTTTGTTCAATGGACACACATGTACTGTCATCCAGAAAAAGCTAACAACCCAGCTTCAGGTGGAGCATGGCAGCAAAAAGTTCACTTCAGTGCCTCACCATTCATATGGTGGCTCCACTACTAACTAATAAATTATTTCCCCACACCTGCTATACTGATTGCAAGGAGCTAGCATTGCTGTTGCATAATAGTACATGGAAATGTTTGTCTGGAGTATAATGCCTCATGGATACTATGCTAGAATTCAGAGTATGCTTGGAAAACACACTAGCTAGAAAGACAGGGGATGATGAAAATGAGGGAAAACAGTGGTGAGAAATGGACCTTCTAATCTTTATTTATTAAATTAAAGAGATCATGATAAACTACCTGGGGATGCACAATGTTAGTGGCAAGAAGGGACTCAAAAAAGAAGGGGCCAACCTCCAAGGGGAAGTCTTGAATTAAATAATGAACTATCTTGACAAAATCTAGTAATATGGGGAAAGGAAAAGCATTCCAAAGACCTCTTCTCTGGGGAGGACAGGAAAAAGAAAAAAGGAATAGGTAGGAAATAAAAGTACTCTGAATGTCTTATCTTAATAGTTAAGCAGATGATGCAGTGGGAAATTCTTGGCTAGGGAAATAGTTGTTACTTTGTTATGAAACAATAGTAGAGAAGTGTGTACTTGATTCTGAATTCAGGGACAAACAAAGAATCCTGAATGAGTGTGAATTTAGTACTTCCAAATTATCAAGGAGAAAACTGAAATTAATAGTAACTTTATCAAATCAACAAAACCAAGGAAAAGAACAGAAATGAAAGAAATATGGTAATATAAAATAAATAACAAACATGAAGAAATATCCCATGTGCTTCTAAGGGATGACTTAGAATCACAGAATGTCATAAACACATACAAACACAGTATAAAAGAATTTTTTTTTGAAATTGGAATAAATGATTTGAGAATATATATGATTGAATGCCTGAGAGTAACCAGCAAATATTTTTGAAAAAGAAAAACAATAAGATAATCTTCATCTCCTAGATATCAAGGAATGATATAAAACTATTACAATTGAATTATTCTAAAATCACTAAATAAAATAGATCATGGAAATGAATTAAGAATCTAGAATACATCCAGAAATAGATCCAGGAGATATATCTACATCTCTGTCTCTATATCTAGTTATCTACCTACCACTTAGGTACGAAAAGGATGAATTATTTAATAAAGAGAATAAATATATCTGGTTATGTATCTGAAATGAAATAAAACTAATACCCTATCTGTATTACATATGTAGAAATGCATGACTATAAGAAAATTCACAAATTTAGTTTGGCAGAAGTTACCACACAAAATTAAAGGACAAATAATAGATCTGGGGGAAAAAATTGTCACACGAAGAACAGACAGAGGGTTAGTATCTATAACATACAAGGAGCTCTTCCAATTTGCCAGGGAGGAAGTACTCCAATAGAAAACTGACAAAAAGGGCAAAGAATGTGAAGAGACAATTCATAGAAGAGCAAATCTAAATGCCCGACATGCTTATAAAAAGACACACCAATTCAGTAGTAGTCAGGGAAATTGCAAATTAAAGTAACAGAGAGCTATGATTTTATGTTTCTCCAACTGGAGTTAGCAATGGATGTTCAAAATGATAATGTCAGTTGATGGCAGGAATATAGGAAAAGGATACTGACGTTGCTGAAAATCAATTTTGTTACAATATTTTTGGGAAGAAATCAGGTAAGATATATTAAGTGTACATATATGCTTTGACCCAGAGATTCCATCCTTGGGAATATAACTTACAGGAAAAAAGCCAGTGTTGTACAGAAATATATGTGAAAGAGTAATTGTTGGAGCATTGCTTTGGGTAGCAGAAAACTGGAATGTGTGTCAATAGAGGAGTAGTATGAATTGCTACATATGCACTGGGAAATGTTATGCAGCCATTAAAAAAAAAGAATTTGGATTATATTTTAAAGTCGAAGGAATATATACGAGGTGGTGTTAAGTGAAACAAAAAGATCTTGTGTAGAGTATAATGTGAAAACAGTATGAATTGCTACATATGCACTGGGAAATGTTATGCAGCCATTAAAAAAAAAGAATTTGGCCTATATTTTAAAGTCGAAGGAATATATACGAGGTGGTGTTAAGTGAAACAAAAAGATCTTGTGTAGAGTATAATGTGAAAACTTTTTTTAAAAGATAAAAATTCCTCTATATATTTATGTGTATATATGTACTCTGTGTGTGAGTAACTATTTGGACATGCAGAAAAATTCAAATATATCCAGCAGGCTTTTGGTTGATATGACTTATCTGTAATGAGCTGATTTTCATGGAGAGGAGAAAAGAGGTAAAGGTGAACCAAGAAAAGCAAACTAAAAGGCTGCTAAAAGAAAGTCAAATATGTAATATTGTCATATTTAAGCATTCATGTAAAAATGTGTGTATATGTGCACACATATGCAAATCCTAAAATAACTGTTAAATAATTTGGAAAGGAACGTCATGAAAATTTTCCTCTTTGAAACTAAAGGCACCTTTTCTCTACTAATTATTAGCATCAGGCCATCCTCAAAGGTCTTGAATCCTTAACATTCTGCATGATATATCTTTCCTGAAACAAACCAGTGTTTATATTCTAGAAAAGTTAGCTGACATCACGTGAATGAAGGATATGAATGACTCCACAACTGAGTCCTCCCTTTCCACCTTCTTCTTCACCAGGCACTGCAGTTTCAACTCCTCGGCATCAAGTCTCTTTGTCTGTTCCAAGCTACCAACCCTTAAGGAAGTGTCAATTCCTACTTAACTTTAAAAACTCTCCCCCATTGTTGAGGCTCCCACATCATAATCCTGGACTCACAGCATAGGAGAAAGGAACCAAGCAGAGAAATAAAATGAAATGTTGTTTCAAGTCAAAATCTGCATCATGCTTTCCCATAGAAACATTTCATAAATTGTGATTATAGGTTTTCTAACACCATTTGTGCCAGAGTTCAGGTAACATTGAGCATTAAAGTATGCTTTTGAGGATTACTCTGGGAGAATAACCACCAGCTGTAGTCCTGTTTTTAATGGAAAATATGGTATATTACCTAAAAACCAATTCACAAATTAACTTTATGAAAACAAGCTAGGGAAATATCTTTGTGAAAAAAAGTTTATACGTTAAAAAGTTCACAAACAAATGTTAAATATGAAAATGATTTGATTTTGACTTGATGGTGGACTTGGCTCTTATGATTGACTAGAATTATTTTCCTTTGATCCTCACTGCTGCCATTGAAACCATCCTGAAGCTCTCTACTAAACCAAAGTGGCCAGCCTTCCAAGGTAGAGGAAGCTTCTTCTTCAGTGAAGGCTTTATTCATAGTCGGTTATTACAATCGTTATACTCGTTTTTGCTAAGGGACTTGCTCTGAGTTTTTAACTAATGTTTTCAAATCTAAATAGAAACCACAGCTTATAAGAAAGTGGAAAAGAAAGTTAATATTTATTGAGCATCTGCCATGTTCCAAATCTCTTAATTATTACAATAATTGTGAAGTTGGCATTTCAAGTGAGGAAACAGACTCTGACAAGTTTAAGCAAATTTCTTTCCCTAGCATCAAATAAGAAGTGGTTCTACTTTTTTAAAAATGGATAATAACGTATCCATTTTTAACTTTTATTCAAATGTAGCACATATATTAGTTCATAAATTCCAAATTTGTTATTGTGTTTTCACAAAGCAAACACACCGGTGAAACCAGCGTCCAAGTCAAGAAACAGAACATTACCAGAATCTCAGAAGTCACGCCAACTGCATCTTTTCGCTCACTATCCCCTCTCTTAGAGTAACCGTTCTCCTGATTTCCAGCATTTCTGCTATCAGAATAGTTTAGATTACATTCGTTTGACTGCTTTTGAATTTATACATATGCAGTTATAGAGCATGTAATCTTTTATGTCTGACTTCTTTCTTTCAATGTTACGTTTGGACAATTCATTGATATTGTTACATGTGGTTGAGTTTGCTCATTCGCATTACTGCATAATATCCCATTGTGTGAACATACAATTTATTTATCCATTCTTCTATTAATGGATATTTGGATAGTTTTCAGTTTTTAGCTATTATGAATAGTACTGCAAAGAACAGTCTTGTACATTCATGTCTTTTAGTGCATAAATATACACATATATGTTGGATATATACTTAGTAGTGTAATTGCTATGTCATGGGATTTGCATTAGAAATCTTGAATGCTCGATGTTCTTTTTGACTTTCAGTTTTTCAAAGTGTTTATACCAATTTATACCTTCACTGGCAGCATATGAGAAGTGTATGGCTCACATCCATGCTAACAAAAGCAGTTTTTGAAACCAGGTTTCCGACTCTAATACCTAATGCTCTTTTCCTTTCATCTAAATTTTATTTAAAGGTAAGAGCTTGATAACAATTTTCTCTTACAAATTCCATGATTCTTTCTAATATCTTCATTCTTTGTTCATTAAGTGAGGTGCCTTTTCGATACTGAAAAAGATATCTATGCTGAATAGAATTTAATAAAGTTAGCAGCATATCAGAGGCCTCATGTAAATATCCATCTTCATTGAATCCAGCCTCTTCTATTTTTTCTGCATGGGTGAAAAGAATGGCAGTGTAATTCTTCCAAGCATGTCCCAGAAGTTCCTGAAAGAGAGAAAGGAGTTAAATGGCTATTTGCTTTGGACTATAATCCTCAAAAATGAGCAAAGGAATTGTTATGGTTCAATATAGATAGCCAACAGATCTGTGTCATTATATTCTTGGAAGCTGGTATACAAAGTGGGAAGTGAAGATGGAGTCATGTATTGTAAGCAAATGGGGGGAGATGGGTGGGCTCTCTGAAAAAGGCTTTAGTTCTTTATTTTATTTTACTGTTATAATTGATGTATACACAACCTTAAAACTGCATATTATCAATGCTGCACAGATATAATTATATTTACAACATTCAGTAATCATTTATACTTGCCTGACAACCTGGCTATGTTAGAACCACTGAATTCCTTTCAGTTAATTGTCATATATATTTTTGTGCGTAGGAACGTTGTGTTATAATCATCACTAAAAGCATCTTACTAAGGCTTAAAATTACATAATCTGGTTACAATCTATTGATTAATCAAATGACATGTAATGAAAAAGCTAAGATCAAAATACATTTGGAGATTTGGAACAACTACAAAATATTACTGTGATTCTCATCTTTCTCACTCCACATGCCTACAATCAAACACAGTTTATCAGATGGTTTCCTCTAATGTGGTTGAAAAACATTGAAGACTGGAGTTCCTTTGTTTAGTAATATGTGGAAGTTGGTTATACAATAAATTCTTCTTTGATTAGTGAAAATAAGCTGATATAAAGCTGAAGTAATAGCATGTGGCAAATTGTTCATGCAGTATGAAAGGCATTTAGAAATAATCATTTAACTGTTTTGAATATTACCAAAGTTATGTGAAATTATGACAAACCCTCCATTTCAAACATTTCCATTACCAAAATATTTCCAAAGCCACTACCAATTTGTAATAGAAACAAACAAACAAACAAAAACCCCAACATAAAATGCTTAGGAATGAATATAACATGAAATATCCAAAACTCATAATAATCAGAAGAAAGAAGGAAAACCAACACTTAGTGCCTGATATTATGCTAAGCACTTTACATGCTTTATCTCTTTTGAGGCTACACACGATTCTTTGTGGGAGATGCTATTATTATCTCCATTATAATATGGGGGAAACTGCCATATAGACAGGTTGAGTTACAGGTATTAGTACAAACTATGGTTTTAAAAAATCTTGAAAAATTTGAAAGATAGTCTGGAAAGCTAGTTTCAATATTTATAACAAATACAGCATTCGTACTTACAATACTGAAAAGTTGAAAAGAAAGAAGGAAAGAAGAAGGAAATAAGAAAAGGAGGAAGGAAGGAAGGAAAAGAGGAAGGGAAAGAAAAAAGAAAGAAAGGGAAGAAGGAAGGAAGGAAGAAAGAAGGAAAGAATCAGGATCTGTAGATCTAATATTAAAATTCTAAAGAGAACTGTGGGACAAAATATTTAAAATTGAAAACATATCATGGACTTGGTTACCAACTACAACTCCTGATACAATCTGGCTTTTATCAGAGCCTTTTATTTATACATCCATCTCTACAGCTTGACAGTGAGCTCTTTGAAGGCAATGTCTATGTCTCTCCTTATCAATCAAGGCTTCTGGCATGTTGTAAATACTCAGTAAATATCTGTTGAATTAATTTGGAATTTATTATCATCACTTCAAACAGAAGTTTTAGGGTTTTACTTATTTGTTTTGAGGATTTAGTTTTGAAGTTTAATTAATCCTTGAGACACAATATTGTACCTTCCTGTAAAGCTTCTCTTTTGTTCTGCAGTTCATCATCACGGATTTGCCTACAGTCTGCACATACTATTTTGTATTCCGAGGGATTCTTTCAAGGAATAGGTTCAAAATTTTTCCTCATATCTGTTCAACATTAGTCTATCTACACTATAGATAATTATATATTTCTATTTCTCCTAAAAATGCTCTGCTTCAAGAAAATCTGAATTAAATTTTCGAGAGCAGTACATTAGGGAATAATTATTTTAACAGAAAGATTCTAAACTTCTTTACAAAATAATTTTTCAAAGACGTACTTTAATTAGCACATTCTTATTTGCAAAACTTCAACCCAACTTTTGAAGAACATAACTCTTGTGTAAATCTAAGTATTAGTGTAATGTCAACATTCCATTTCAGCTAAGGGTAACATAGCAAAATTAGCAGACCTCTTAAGAGTTTGTCATATGTTCACTATATTGTAACAGATCTCCAGTGGGAAAGGAATCATTGAGTTGCAAAATAAATAGTGGTGTTATGGGTTGAATTGTGTCCTCCCCAAATTCATATGGTAAATCCTAACACGCAATTCCTCAAATGTGACCTTATTTGGAAGTACAGTCATTGCAGATATAATTACTTAAGATAAGGTCATTAGAGTGACCCATAATCTAATATGATTGGTGTCCTTACAAATGAGGGAAATTTGAACAATAAAATAAATACAGAGAGAACACCACGTGAACATGAAGATGGTCATCTACATGCCAAGGAGAGAGGCCTGGAACAGATCCTTTACTTACAGCACTCAAAAAGAACCAACCCTGTTAACACCTTGATTTTGGACTTCTAGTCTCCAGGACTGAGTGACAGTAAATGTCTGCTGTTAAAGCCATCCAGTTTGTGGTGATTTGTTACGGCAGCCCTAGGAAAGTAATACGAGTGATTTAAAAAATTAATAAAGTGCTACATATACAAGATCTAGTTTCTGGAAATAAAAAATTTCCTAGACCATTTGCATCAGAATCACATGGGAGACTGTATCAGAACCTTTGGGGTGGGAGCCTGAGAATTTGAATTTTAAAAAGCACTCCAGATGATTTATTCCTTCTGCAAATATTTATTGAGAGTCTACTTAGTTTTAGGCATATTCTAAATGGTAGGGTCACAGTGTGGAACAAGACAGGTATATTTTCTGTTTACGTGTAGTGGAGATTCTTGTGTACTAACTAAACTTAGTGCTGAATAAGGTGGACAGGAAAGAAATACTTTTAATTTGTTGTTCTGTAATTGCAAGTGTTGTGGTAGAAATTATGTTGATGCTACAGAGGTGAATATTTAGCTCAATTTGGGGTGGGGGTGAGAAGTGGTGGTAAAGTGGAGAGATCAGAAAAAGTTTCCTGGGCCGGCCTGGTGGTGCACTCGGTTGAGTGCGGTGCTTGGGAGTGTGGCGGCGCTCCCGCCGAGGGTTTGGATCCCATGTAGAGACCGGTCCGCTCACTGGTTGAGCGTGGTGCGGGCGCGACACCGAGGGTTGCGATCCCATTACTGGTCACGAAAAAAGACAAAAAGGAAAAAAAAAAAAGAAAAAGTTTCCTGCATGTGATGATGCCTTGAGCTGATTCTTTAAAAATGCAAAGGAATGAAAGGAATTAACAGAATCAATCAAGCATGATTACAGATTGTATAGTATTCAGATTTTTATTTCTATTGATCCTTGATCACTCTTATCTCTGGAAGTTTCTCAGACTTCAAGCCAGTACACCATTGAGGTGGTCATATTCACCCAGTATACCTGAAGTGGTCACATTTATGGTCATAATACTGAAATGTTTATATACAATTTAGTAAATAGGTACCAGTATTTAATCCCTTGAGTGACACTCCAAACCTACATTTATTTGTTGATGCCTGGACCATACTTGTCATTAGATATTCTTGAAGTATCACCATAATAAAAGTGCCTGCTAAATAAACTTCTTGGCACAAACAGTCCTTTCTTGAGTTCTATGTAATAACATAGAATTTTTTTCTTGCTAGGTTAGTACCTATTGAAGTAAATGCTGTAACTTTCACAGTATTCCTTTAGTTCTTGGTTTTCTGTATTGTAACATTAACATGTTTCCTCTTTGTTTAGCCAGACATTTCCTATACTTGAAATCATAATCTCATTCAGGAAAACAAGTTAAAGCACCTAAAGATAATAGATTTGTAAGCTCCACACCACTTACAAGTCCATATGTTCAGCCACTGGGAACTTTTTACATGTTGATAATTATTTACGAAAGGATGTTCATGTCCTAAACTGTGAGAGAAATTGCACTTTTGAATTACTGCCAAAAACCGAATAGAGTTGTTGATTTAGCTTATAATCTTTAGATTGATTTCTAGCCAGAAAATAGCTGAATATTTGAAAGTAATGTCGCTTGGTGTATAGTCATCATGTTAGTGGCCAAACATGTTCTCTATGAACCCAGAGGAAGAATAAGCGCAGTTGATTGATACCTTGCATAAAAATCCAAAAGCAAGATAAGTTAATGTAAGTTATCTGGTGTTAATAATTTAAATATTATACTAAGCTCAATCAATCACGAATTGTTTGGTTTCAGAGTGGTAATGGGTATGAATCCATCTAGCCCTTTTGGGACAACTAGTTAGGATACAAATTTTGTTTTCCAGGAGTAATGTTCATTTTCCCAGGACCTCACAGCCCTGCCCCATTTGTTTGTGGTTGATGAAATCATAGCATCTGGACATTTTAGGGGGAAACTTAAAAAAAGCCAACTATTACATCAACTGAGGAAAAAAAAATGATCATGGAACAGGAGGACAATAAAGACGACTTTTTATATTTTATGCTATTCTCTTACTCTCATCCCACTTTAACATGCCACATTTTCCTTCTCAGAGAGCCAAAGCTGAATGATAAGATTGTGTTAGATCAAACTCAGAGAATTCTCAACCTTAGAGATCATTTGTCCAAACTGCCTCATTTTACAGTTGAGGGTATTGAGGTCTTGTTATGTTAAACGGCTTGGCCAAAGACATATAGTTGATTATTGGCAGGCCTCGCCTGTAACAAAGTCCCTTGTTTGTCAGGCCCATGCCCTTCCCAATAAATTGGGGCTTCTCTGTTTAACCTTACAAAGCCAATGAATTTTTTTTCCCAGATTTTTTTCTAAATTAATAAGGAAGTTACTTCTTATAGTTATAAATTAGTGCCATGTAAATTTGATTTCACTCTTACTTTCTTCTGAAGCTGATCAGGATAAACCCAAAGATTGTTTACAATAAGACAAATAGTAACAATAAAATAATAATGACCAGAGCTAACATTTATTGGGCATTTGTCATGTGCCAATATCTGGGTTAAACAATTTATTGTTATGTTAATATGGCATTAATCCCAAAAGTAACCCAAAGAAGTGGACACTATTATCACTCCCAATTTAGCAATGAAGTTTAGAGAAGTTGCTTGACCAAGGTCACAAAGCAAGTAAGTGGCTAAGAATCTGAACACAGGTATAACTTACTCCGGAACCCATGCTCTGAACCTCTATAGTATGTTGTCCGTATCTAGTAGTTCATTCGAATGAGTACTCATTGCAATCTGGGTAGTGATCACAACAACAAAACAAATGCAATAATAGTAATACTTTACCATTTTCTGTGAACCTTCTGTTAGTTAGGCAAAATGCTAATAAACATGTCACCTTCACTAAATCTAACCCTCAGAACTTTTTAACATAGGTAAAATCGTCCTCGTTTTACAAGTGAGGAGCTGAAGCGAGGAAAGTCTTAGTAACATTTATAGTCATATACCTAGAAAGTAGTTAGGTTTGCTTTCCAACTAAATTCTACCTAACAACTAAGCCCAAGATCTTTGTTTGGTATTTTCAGGCACCGCATTGGCCTTTCTGAGCCTCTTGTATACACACCTACTTGCAACATCAACAGGTGAGAGGTTGGTTATAAAACAAAAAAACGTACTGAAGCCTGCCTGTACACAGCAATAATACATAATACCGTGACAGTGGAAAGAGTATGGACTTTAGTCAATTCTTGAGTTCAATTCCTAGTGCGGCTTGGCTGCATGCTAGCTCTTCCCTTGAGGTAATTTTGTTATATCTTCTATGATTCATTACTTGTGATTTTTAAAAATCATTTAAATGACATTCCAGATAATATTCAGATGAATCACTCCTTTTATTCCCCAATTTTGGGGAGATAATTCCCTGACATCTTCATCATTTTGCTGTAAATTAATAATGACCTAACAAAAATAAAGAAAAAAGGATCATTTGGGAAAAATATTTCAATTGTCACAGCTGGCAGCCTATAACCCCTCTGAAAAATATTAGCACACAAACTGGGAGATATATTTAAAGAGACAATAATGAGGTGCAGGAAAAAAGAGGCCACTTCTCTGGCACTTGCATCAGTGGCCCCAGAAAGGGGGCAGGGGAGGAAAAGGGGGAAAGCAGATACTCCATTCTCCATTTTGCATCAGCCAGGAAGAAAAAGAAATCCAGGGTGTGTCTGGAACGCAAGGACCTTAACAGCTCCCAGCTCCTTCCTAACAGCTGTTGGTCCTGTTGAACATTCAGACATTCTGCAGCTGCTCCCAATCTGTGAGCACACACAGATGGCTGCCACCAGTATCTGAGGCAACTTCAGCAAGGTCATAAACAGCCAGCCTGTGCTTAGATGGCAATCGACCAAAGACCGTGGCAGAACCCCAGTGCAGGTCAGGGGTCACTTTGAGGATTACTGAGTCTTGGCTGCTGAATTTTCTTGGGAGACAGAAGTTACTTATTCTGGAAAAAAAAATATTCTGAATCTGAGCTTTGCCCTAGCCCATCTCCTCTCCGCCTTTAACTCCTGAATTGGACACTGACTTATGGGAGACAGCTGTAAGAGGGAAAGCTATATGCCAGATACTGTTTTAAAAGACCAGAGACATATATGAATCAAATTCACTTAAGAAAAATTAGGGGATTGCAATATTGTTGTATATCCTAAAACTAGAAAAATCTATTTTCAAAATGTATGTCATTTAAAATATCCTCTTGGGCTTGGCATGGGTCCATCACAGAGAAAAATATTGGGTCATATGGAGAGAGTCAGGGCAGCTTTTGAGAAATAGTTGTTTATGTGTTTACTGAATTTACTAAGCTACACCCACCTATAGCTTAAGTTAAACGTTTATTTAATAACAGCATTAAATGAATTTTAAAAACTTAAAAAATTATACTGATGTAACAGATGCAGGTTTCCAACTACTTGATTTCTACCAGAAATATTGTTTAAAGTTAAGGCTTTAATGGTTTGGGGAAGGTGTAGGGGCTTTCTCACATTTCATATTGTTTCTTAACTGCAATCATCTTCTCTTCTACTTTGGTTTTGAACTGCATGGCCTTGAGTTTTCAGGAGTTGGATGATGAGGATTATTTTTTATGCTCTTGTCACCCTAATTTTCTCCACTAGTTTCTTGTGATTACACATACAGCTTTATTTTTATTTTTTATTTTTAGAACATGCACAATTACTGAAAAACAAAATGTGTGTCTGCCATTTAGAACAATCTTATGTCCTTAGTAGTTACAAGGGAAAAAAAATCCTCACTAAAGCAAAGTATACTATCTTTCTGGCATAACAGGGTCTACATCAACATGGTCTGAGATTGGACTAAAAGAAGAGGAGCATTTATACAAATGCTTCTTGAATGAAAGATGTCTGTTCTGTATACTCTGTACCTGTGGGACTTCTAGTAGACATGGCTCCTCTGAGCTCAGTGACTCAGCCAGGCTCTTTAGTAATACTAGTGAAGTTCAGCAATTAAATTTGGGTGGACACACATTAGAGTATCAAGATATTGAATAGAATGAAGCAGCTCATAAACAGTTTCCAGGAATTGTTAGTCTATGTGGGCCTTGCTCACATATACTATATATGGGTATTCAGTAAACAGTAGTCCCCCCTTACCCACAGTTTCACTTTCCATGGTTTCAGTTACCCATGGTCAGCTATGCTCCAAAAATATTAAATGGAAAATTCCAGAAATGAACAGTTCATTAGTTTTAAATTGTGCACCTTTCTGAGTAGCATGATGAAATTTTCTGCCATTCCATGTCATCCTGCCCTGTACGTAAATCATCTCTTTGTTCAGTGAATCCACATTGTAGACACTACCTGCCCAGTAGTCACTTAGCAGCCCTCTCGGTTATAAGGTTGCCTGTGCTTGTGTTCAAGTAACCCTTATTTTACTTAATAATAGCCCCAAAGAGCAGGATAGTGACGCTGGAAGTTCAGATCCGCTCCAAGGGAAGACGTAAAGTGCATCCTTTAGGTGAAAAGGTAAAAATTTTGGACTTAATAAGGAAAGAAAAAAATCATGTGCTGAGGTCATTAACATCTGCGGTAAAAACGAATCTTCTACATGTGAAATTGCGAAGAAGGAAAAATAAATTTATGCAGTTTTGCTGTTGCACCTCAAACTTTATTGTAAGTATGTATAGAAAAAAACAGTATATATAGGATTCTGTACTATCCACAGGTTCAAGCTTCCACTGGGGATCTTGGAACATATCCCCTGGGGATCAAGTATGGCTATTGTATACATGTATACACTCCCATCATCTCCTAGCTGTGACCATATTCAGGACCTCTCCCCTTACCCAGCTCCTCTCCTAGACTGCCTGAATAAACCTTCAACTTAGCAACTCATCATAAATGAGCAAACAAACAAATAGGGACGGAACACTAGGCAAAGGTGGCATACAGGATTTACGTTCAGCCTGCGATCCCTGTGGTCTTCTCATGGCTGCAATGGAGCAGTTACTTACACTACTGATGGCGAGACAAGCAAGGCTTCTGAAATCCCTGATTTCTTTCCTAGAGATAATGTATAACTCTCCCCTGAATGTTTACCACGATCTAAGTCTGATGAAGTCTCCTCTCATCCATTACACTACTTTGACACTTAATGCATTGTCTTATTCTGGTTTGTCTATTTGTCTCTTCTAGACTGTAAGCCTTTAGAAGGTGGAGCTCATGTCTCATTTACCAATCATTAAGCATTTCGAGGGTGCTCAGTACAGCGTTCAATGTTCAGTGTTCATTGAATCAGTGAACAAACACTCATTTGTTGGTGGACTGTAAGAGATTGTCCCCTTTCTGTTGAATGGATGCAAGTCAGTATTTTAGCTAAGTGGTTCTGAAACCTAACTGCTTTTAAGAAACATGGAAATTTATGAAAATGTGAATATGGGTAGGCAACACTCCTGAGATTCTGTTTCAGTAGGTCTTGGATGAATCTGCATTTTTAACAACTAGCTCAGTTGATTCTGATGCAGACAGGTCAGAGTCCACATTTTGCAAACTTATTCAGGTTTGCATTTCTTAGGGGTTTGAGGCTTAGTTAAACTCTGAAGTTTACCATCTCAATTTTTTTTCTATGACCCAATTCCTGTAAAGGAAATTGTAAAAATGACTCTTGGTGGAGAAATCAAGTAATTTTTACTGACTATTTCCATGTGACACCAATACTTTGTCATTTAAACTACTATTTTTTTTTTTCCTTTTTGTCTTTTTTCATGTCCGGCAACGGATCGCAACCCTCGGTGTTGCACCTGCACCTCGCTTTCTTTTTTTTTTTTTTTTTTCCTTTTTGTCTTTTTTCATGTCCGGCAACGGATCGCAACCCTCGGTGTTGCACCTGCACCTCGCTCAGCCAGTGAGCGGCCGGTCTGTATGTGGGATCCGAACCCTCGGCGGGAGCGCCGCTGCACTCCCAAGCGGTGCACTGTAGCAGTGTGCCACCGGGCCGGCCCTAAACTACTCTTTTAACCAGTTTCCCATGGTCCTTTTCTATTAGGATAATGTCCTCCAAATAGAAATAATGGCCTCAGTGTAACTGCGTCTTTGTATTACCTGCATCATCTGGACTGGGTAAAGTGTTTCTTGTCCGAAGAAAGGCACATCTGCTCTCTGGACTAGCAGTGCGAGGTGGAGACCCTCTTGCCCAAAGTGATGTGCCAGGGCCTCCCTGATCTCCTGTTTCACATGCTTCTTGCTCAGCTTGCTGTGTGGATAACCTGGAGTGTCCAACACTTGGACCTGCAGGGTTATCTCTTGCCCACCTCGACGCATGAAGTTATGGAGGAGACAACTCCGGCTGAGGTTGCAATTTTTGGTCACAGAACATGGAGCAAAGCTGCTGTGAAAGTCAGTGCTTCCCAGCAGAATGTTCCCAGCAGAACTTTTTCCACTCTGAGTCATGCCAAAGAGGGCCAAGTTGATGATCATCTTGTTGGGGTTTGTCATGGCTGTGGATAACAAGGGCACAGCACAAGCAGTTAGACTTTTACATCTGCCCAATGTAAGGCTTCTTACCTGGCCTGGAGCACTCCAAGTACTACCTTTTGTTTGCTTTCCCCTTGTGCATAGTGACGAAAGCATGGAAGAGTGCTCTGCTAATGTGGAGATGCCCCAACGACAGAAAGGAAGATTGAACTACTAGTAGCAGTTTACAGTGGGAAGGGATGGAAGTCAAATGCCATTAAGGAAGGGAGGAGGAAGCAATAATAGCAGGAAAATGAGGGGGAAAACCCAAATTATATGAACATAATATAAACCATATTTAGGAGGCATATATTAAGGCATCAGTGTGATAGGTTAGTTGGTTTAAGAATGGGTATGGAGGTTCCTGAGGTCAGGAACAAAGCTAGCAGCAGTATTTGAAAATTATTCACTATTGGAGAACTAAGAAAAGAACAGCAGAAGAAATAACCCACCTTCCCACCTCCTCACCCGCTGAATACACAAGTGGCATCTGCAAAAAATCATCTTTCCTGACTTCCCGAATGCTTCTCTACTATGAAATATAAATAATATTAAAGAAGACTTCTGTTTTTGTTTACCAAATACTTTTAATAAACAGACAACATTCCAATGAAAATGAGAACTACTTGTAATTATGAAATAATTAATAATCATCTCCATGGTCCAGTCCATCATTATAAAGTGTTAGCTCTTTAAGAAAAAAAGTAAAGTCCAATATATTGTGCAGCTCAGTTACGAAGGAGGAGAATCTTGGGAGAGTCTATTCTATTTACAATACCTGTAAAGTGTGGTCGATCTTTTGTACAGAGCATAAACCTCTTGTAACAGTTTAATGTCAACAATCATTTGTATTAGATTGATAAGCAGAGCTACTGGTCAATTGCTGAAAGTGCTCAATCTGCTGATTCAGAAATAGAGACATTTTAATATTGCACACTTCTTTTGCTTATAACTTGTAATTCTATTATATAGTTTTTTAAGAACCCCAAGTCTTACTTGCTCTCTAAAGTCCTTTACTCCAATCTCCCCAGACCCTAACACGAACACCTTGATAGGGTCTTACACTCCCATAAAAAGACACTCTTTTTTGGGGTCCCTCAAGGTGACACCAGCTCATTCAGCTCTGTCGACTGCACTAAGATACAGTCGATTTCCTTTTACTTCTAAATGAGACAGATGAATTTTATAAAAACTTGATTAGGCAATCCCAATCCATATGCTGTATTACACTTACCTTTTCCAGTCTTGAATATGCTTTCCCCCCCAAAGACTTTTCTCGAGTGGATACTGTTGTTCTGCGGTATAAACTTTAATCTTCTGACTGTACTATTGTACCACTCTGAGACTGGTACGATCTGTATGTTATTTAGTTAATCTGTTACCAGACATCCTCTTTATAAATGATTAGTTGTCTTCCTCTGATCAACACTGATTCTTTTACGTCACCTGACAGACTTGTGATTTTAATAGGTACTTCCTGAAACTTCTATTTCTAGAATTAAGTTCTCGGACTTAGTGTGTTTCTAATAGGTAACAATTTATTTATAGCAAAAGAAATGCAAAATTGGTATTAAACAGAAACTTCACATTCTATAACAATGATTACAATATTTCTTTTCATTTTAACTGATAAACACCATATCATTACTTCATAAAAAGTTTTAATAAATAGATATGTAAATAAATATGAGGACACTCAAAACGTTTGTGGAAAAATGGAATTCAAACATAATACGAATCTTTCTGTGAACTTTTTGAAGACCCCTCCTATATGTACAATAATTACATACTGACTTCATAATAGCATTTAGTTCATAAATTTAATAAGAAGACTCTTTTGGTTATTTTCATATAACTAAAGTTTATTATCTTATTGTAGTTGATGATATTAGCATAATTATATCAGCACATGCAGTTTTCATATTAATGATAGTCTTTTTAAGAAAAAGTATAATTAACTATAACTTGAAGTCAAATAAATTTTTTCTTAAAGACTTGGATTTTATTCTGTTATTGAAAGTTCAAATTTAATTTTTTCCACTTTTTAGTATGTAACCCATACTTCCCAAAATACTTTCTTAGTGTGTAAGATGTACAAGCCTCAGTATGATTATATTCTGGTTCATTTTCTCTTATATCTCTCAAGAAGTCTACAAAGTATGTATTCTATGTGAAGGGAACATGGAGATATCTGGAATGCCCTATGATTTCATGGGCAGAGAGTTAAAAAGTCTTCTTCCTGTGTGGATATGACAAGGAAAACATGAACTGGATTCATTCATCTGATCAGCACACTGGTTTTCTTGAACAAAGCAGAAAGAAACTCCCCCAGGTGGCAGTAGCAGCCTGTTTCCAAAGAAGTGATTTTGTACCAGAATTTATTTTAATTTTCTTCTTCAAACTGTAAACTGACGTTCTTCAACAACCTAGTTTAGCATGTATTCATCGTATGGGGGATTTTTTGAAGGAGAGCAAAGCCAAGCCATCCTTCCCAAATTCCTTATAGAATACAGCAAGCACAGGAGGTTCTTAGTTTTTCAAACCCTCTACTTCGAAGTTACAGTTTAAATCATTTGCTGAATGCAACAGTTGTCTGTTTAAAAAAAACATTTCAGAGTTCATAAGCATGGTTAGAAGTTTCAATGAGACTGAAAAATTTTTAGATAATTTCTAATAGGTCTAACGGTGGTTTTAGATTTGAGTCAACTTAGAGGATTATAGAAGGGTAATTTATTAATATTAAATGATGTCGAAATATTGATTATTCATTCTTTTTTGAATCAGGGTGAAAGAAAATTTGAAAAATTACCTTTTCACTGATATTATGTACCAGGGATAAAAATGTCTTGTCCTTTAATAGCTGACTCAAAAATTCCTCTGAGGAAGGAAACTATCTTTGTGAAAATAGTTCTATTAGATCCTTGTACTAGAAAAGAGCATCTTGAGAACATGATTCAGACTCACAAAACACTAATCGCCTATGTGCTGACAACGGGGAAAGAGCCAAAGAGTAGAGAAGATCAGGGTATAAAAGGAGGGAGGGAAAGAGGGAGAAAGGAGAGAGTGAGAGAATAAGAATTACTATAGTTTGTCAGGAAGCTGGATCTCTCAGTTTTGGAAATGACTATGGCTAAGGGACTATTTTAGAGCAGAAATTGCTAATGCTCACTTTTAAGTTCCTTGCATTTCTGAGTTTTCTTACGTGAAGGTGGCTATTTTTGTTTTGTTGTTGGTTGTTATTTACATTTTATTTTACTTTGATGGAAATTAATGGAAAGGTCTGAGGTTCACCCCTGTATTAACACAGGAAAGGGACCACACAAGTTGGAGACTGTGGGATGACATATGAATTAAAGTAATGCAGAAGGGGAAGGAAGTTGAAGCTAGAAGGACACAAGTCCCCAGGAACTTGCAGGAATCTTTGTGAGGACATTAGACTTCCCACAATCCATATTTTGGGGTAAGGGTGAACCTAGTTAATGAGTACCTATTGTATTTCAAATTATATATACAGACACACACATATCTACATACATATATACTCACATGTGTATACAGTCATGTGCCACATAACGTTTCAGTCAATGACTGACTGCATATAAGATTGTTGTCCCAGAAGATTGTAATGGCTATACCATACAGCCAAGGGGCGAAGTAGGCTATACCATCTAGGTTTGTGTAAGTACACTCTATGGTGTTCACACAATGATGAAATCACCTAGTGATTCATTTCTTAGAACATATCACTGTTGTTAAGCAACACGGGACTCATACACACATTCGTGTACTTACTGAGGGAAATAAAATGTTGAGAAAAAAATTTCAGCACAACCAATGTGCTTAATACAGATTCTCAAAATTTGTCAAATGATTTCAAAGCTCCCAAACCTTATTCTTGTAACAGTTCTGCTAAAGTCTACTACCCTAATTTAGATCCTCTTTGATAAAAGACCTTTCTTATTCACTCTAGAGTTATGATAACATAATATAGAATGTAATCAAAAATATATTCACATGAAATAATTTTATGTCAAAGTTTTTATGTATTTTAATCTTCTAACCTAGGAAATAACATATATTCAGCCCATTTGGTTAAATATATTTTGTTAGCCAAATGCACACAGGCAGGGTGTCTTATAATCTTTAATAAAGCTGTTAATTCCTCAGTCCCTGAGGCCAGACATTAGATTGGCTTTAACATCTTAGAGATTCTAGTTATCTCATGTACATGATTCAGTTCCAAACACTTATGTGTTATAAATTCTTCTGGTAATATCCTGTAAGCAACAGATACTTCCCTTATCACAACACAAAGCATCATGAATGCCATGGGCATAGTAGTTAGAAATAAAGTTATGGCCATGGAAATCAGATGTCACACCCGATCCTTTCTAAACTTGATGCCACAAAAATCTCTCCTTTTATGTTAAATACTTTTTTTTTGCAAAGGAATCGACAATCTCAAGTCAAGAAGAATAGAACCAACACAAAAATAACTGTAACCTACCTAGTAAATCTTTAACTTTCCTAGGATATTTTGTCTTTCTTTTCCAAGGAAAAATAAACTTCTTCTTTTCCTAGCAAAAGCTATAGTATGGAGCTAACTTCTAAGACAGTGTCACTGGAATTGATGACACCAAAATGTCTGTGATATTGGGACCAATAAAAAGGATTGTCGGGGCCGGCCCGGTGGTGCACTGCTACAGTGCGCCGCTTGGGAGCGCGGTGGCATGCTCCCGCCGAGGGTTCGGATCCCACATACAGACCGGTTCCCGCTCACTGGCTGAGCGAGGTGCGGGTGAACACGTGGGCGCGACACTGAGGGTTGCGATCCATTGCCAGACACGAAAAAAGACAAAAAGGAAAAAAAAAAAAAAAAAAAGGATTGTCAATTCACTACAGAAAGAGCAGAAAATCCTTAACTCTTTTTGAGGTTAAGTAGGGTGTGTGTGAGTGTGTGTGTGTGTGTTTGTGTGTATGTT